TCTCTACTTTATCATTTCTTCAGGATTTATGATAATCATCAGGGCCATAGTTTTTTTGTTATCCATTAGCATTAATCTCTGGTATTCTTTAACTCATATTCATTGAACTTCACACTGGTCACAAAATAAAGACCTTGACTGGACTCTTTTAGTTACAGACCTTTAGTTACAAAGAACAGAGGGAAGCTGCTTCTTGATATTACAGAAAACCTGTTCGGTACAGTAAGATAAAGTTACTATATACTATGGTTCTGGTATCTCATTTAATAAAAAAATACCAGTTTTTGAGGTATTTTGACTGAGGGTTTTGACTGGTATGTCCCTAACAGAGAAGACAGAACCCATCTGAGAAAGTCTTTGAGTAGAAAGTGGGGTTGATAATCTGAATCAAGAAGAGATGATTGTCATTGGCTCAAAGAATATTGAGACTTTTGGGGTGCCTGGGTGGCTCAGTCGGTTGGGCATCCGACTTAAGCTCAGATCATGATCTCATGGTCTGTGAGTTCAAGCCCCGTGTGGGGCTCTGTGCTGACAGCTCAGAGCCTGGAGCCTGCTTCAGAGTCTGTGTCTCTCTCTCTCTCTCTGCCCCTCCCCTGCTCATGCTGTGTCTCTCTCTGTCTCAAAAATAAATAAAAACATTTTAAAAAATAATAAAAAATGCTATCATAAAAAAAAAGAATATTGAGACTTTTTGCAGTTTTCGAAGGTATACAGGGCTTTTCACAAGAGTTTTCAAGATACGGAAAAGAGGAGAATATAGAGTAAGCTGCCATGAGCTGGAAGACATGATGCTATGTGGTTGTTTTTGTCTTTGTCACCTGGTGTATTGGTATTGAGACTCAGATCAGAGACTGATGAAAACATATCAAGAAGCCAAGTTGTTCTAGGGAGGAGATGGCACTAACATCTACTTAGTGTATAGATTTCTGTATAAGCAACATGGGAGGATAAATGGGTCTAGAGTCAGAACAGGACTTCATAGGACTGAGAGGCAGAAAGACCTCTATTAAACACCTGTTATCAATAATGAGGGAGGGGAAGGTCTTTCAGTGATTGTGGACATAGCTAACCAATATAGTCTCAGCATGTATCATTCAGCATTTATGTTTTCTTTCTCATGTCTGTGGGTCAGGTGGGGGTTGGCCGATCAAGGATTTGCTCCATATGTCTCTCTTCCTCATTGGACCAGCAGGCTAGCTGAGGCATGTTCTTCTCATGACGATGCCAGAGATGTAAGAAGTGGAAAAACACAAGACCTCTTATAGCCTGGGCTCAAAACTGACCCAGTGTCACTTCTGCCTTGTCCTACTGGTCACAGCAAATCATGTGGCTGCAAAAAAAGTCAAAGAGCAGGGAACTAGGCTCCACCTCTTTAGTGGGAGGCAAAGTCACATGGCAGAGGGTGTGGATATAGGGAAATGGGAAGTATTGGGGCCAATAGCGTGATTCTCCGCAGACACTAAAGTTTGAAATTGAAGTTTATAGATAAGTTTCCGGAGTTCACATTCAAGTGTGAGTATGCTCTGATAATTTGCTATAATTGACCTCTGGAAATGATACTAGTGCTTCATCTGCTTTTTCAGAGCTCTAAACTTCAGAAGGAATGAGAGAAAATTTTTAAAACTACCCACTTACCAGTTACTTAGAACTTGTCCTGTTTCTCTTTAAGTGTGTGGATAAGTAAGACCTAAATAGACCCGAGTGCCTGGGATGTTAACTGCAATTCTAGCCTTTAGTATTAAAAGGATATTTTAGGGACACCTGGATGACTCAGTCAGTTGAGCATCTGACTTTGGCTCAGGTTGTGATCTCACAGCTTGAGAGTTCGAGCCCTGCGTGGGGCTCTGTGCTGACAGCTCTGAGCCTGGAGCCTGCTTTGGATTCTGTGTCTCCTTCTCTCTCTGCCCCTCCCCCCCTCCCTCTCTCTCTCTCAAAAAAAAAAAAAAAAGACATTTTTAAATGTCTGGTTTAAAAATAAATAAAAGAATATTTTACCTAAAGGGTAGAATCACGGAAACACGGTAGTGCCAGGGTAAAATGCATATACAGGTTTTTGCTAGGGTTTTCATTCTAAAAAGTGAGCTGTATTTGATTCACCAGCATGAATTTCCAAGTTTTGGGTACAGGGCAGTGTACCTTCCTCAGCTGATTTACATTATTGTTTAAAAAACTTTGCCATACTGGGGCACCTGGCTGGCTCAGTGGAGCATGTGACTCTTGATCTCGGAATTGTGACTTTGAGCCCCACGTTGGGTGTGGAGCTTACTTAAAAGTAAAATCTTGGGGTGCCTGGGTGGCTCAGTCGGTTAAGCGTCCGACTTCGGCTCAGGTCATGATCTCGCGGTCCGTGAGTTCGAGCCCCACGTCAGGCTCTGTGCTGACAGCTCAGAGCCTGGAGCCTGCTTCGGATTCTGTGTCTCCCTCTCTCTCTGCCCCTCCCCCATTCATGCTCTGTCTCTCTCTGTCTCAAAAATAAACAAACATTGGGGCGCCTGGGTGGCTTGGTCGGTTAAGCGTCCGACTTCGGCTCAGGTCATGATCTCACAGCCCGTGAGTTCGAGCCCCGCGTCGGGCTCTGTGCTGACCGCTCAGAGCCTGCAGCCTGTTTCAGATTCTGTGTCTCCCTCTGTCTCTGCCCCTCCCCTGTTCATGCTGTCTCTCTCTGTCTCAAAAATAAATAAACGTTGAAAAAAAAAATTAAAAAAAAATAAATAAAAAAAAATAAACAAACATTAAAAAAAATTTTTTTTTAAATAATAA